CTCAGTCGCTCCCACTCAGCGTCCAACGCTGCTTTGGCCTTCGGAGTTCGAGCAACCTCATCGCGAGGGACGAGCCTGGCAACTGCACAGAAGAGCTCGAAAGCGACTTGGAACTCGATTTGCTTGATACGCTGTGCGATAAGCTCCCGAATCGGAAGACGATGCGGCTCAGGTTGATCAAGCACTTTCCGCGGCATTGCAGGTGCTCCAAACCTCATTTGCGGCGTGGGCACGGCTTCCCAGCTAGTGCTCGTGTCCGTAGCACAAGGGCTTCGGCACGAACCGAGCTGAGAAGAAGTCGCTGGACTTGTGGTCTTTGAACCTTTGCTGGAGGATGACTTTGCTTCGTCCATTTCTTTCAGCAGTTTTGCTCGATCTTTTGGGCCGAGAGTTTTCCAATAATCCGATGGGATGTCCTTGGGGCGTTTGCTGCCTTTGTACGTCTTCACCACTCAAAGACCATCCCAATGGTAACCTTCAGGAATAGGGACCCCGGCCGGCGTAGTGTCGGGCTTGTAGTCCTCGGCTTTGTCAGCTGCCGTGACTTCGATTTCGGGTTCCTCACCCCCCTGTTCAAGTACACCTTCTGGAGCTTCGGATGGTGTGTACTCTGCAAGGTCAGCATCCGCAAGTGGAATCGGATTGGGAGACTTGATGAGGTTGAGCTTTGGGTCATCAGGGATAGCTTCCTTACGATCTTGTTTGACACGCAATGGAAAACTAAAACCACCTGGAAGGAGCTCAATTTTCTTTGTCCTCTGGATCGTCAAACTGTTGTGTTCAACATGGTAGTCTAGTGCTTCCAACTTAGCAACTAGATACTCCCCACGCCACTTGTGTCCTGGCTGCACATGGTAACCAAGAAACACGCCTTCCACCGATGTGGGCGACAGCTTTCCTGCTGTATTGTCGGCTTGATTGGGGTTATTCCAGCACAGGACTTTTGCACCAAACGGAATGGCCATACCTTCGAACATTTCTCCAAAACGCAGTTCCCATGGGCTTGGAGATGTGTCCAGCTGATCACTCGTGTTTGTTGCCATTGCAAAATGTTGAATGGCGAGTGGCCAGTACTGGAGGGGCATTCCGGACTGAACAAGATTGGTGCGTGCTACCTCAAGCATATTCCTAACTTCCCTTTCAATGAAGCTCTTGGAGGAGTCCACGTATTCAACGGAGGTTTGGTGGCGATACCCTAACTCCTTGATACCAGCTATCAGCTCACGGGAATTGTCGGTGTAAATGACCTCGACTGCATCATCCGGGGCAACAAAATGCTGAAGAGCAACCACTACCTCATCCGAACTTTTGGACTGAGCTGGGTAAATACTCCGGAACTTTGTATGCAGGTCTTTCACAACCAAAGCTACCCGTTCACCACGACTCCCTTCTTCGATGTTCGCGCGCACGACGACGTGGTCGGCGATCAGATGATCACCGAAAGCCTTAGTCTGAATGCGGCTCTCACCCCCTTTCTTTCGTGCCTGTGGTGCAAGCATCCTTGCTCGCTGACACACTTTGCAGAATGGGTTCTTGGGGAAGTGGTGATACTGGTGTTTTGCGGACTGTGCTTCACGCATCAAGTCTCCAACCTTTCGTGATCGCACCAAACGGCTTTCTTCATCGTCTGGCACTTCCTCGTCAATGCCCTCGTCCTCTTTCTTATCCGATGGGCTCGAGATTGCTCCCGGCATTGCAAACAGCTTCTTCAGAGGCTTATCCTTCTTGAACTTGCCCTTTCCAAAGACTTTGCACTCGGAGTCGAGGACCGGGACATGACCATCAACACGAAGTTGAACGATTTTCTCATCTGGTCGCACCAGGATCGGGGTACCGTTTGCCGGCCACACGAAACTATACCCTTGGTCAAGGCATTTGATGCCAACTGAGAGCACAGCAGGGCATTCATCCAGCAAGTACGGCGTGCAAGGCTCCAGTAGCTGCTTCATCTGGACGTCAGCTACCTCACTGGCTTCGGTCGATCCATTTGCAGTAATCAGACTGATGGTGTGAGGAGCCCGTCTTGGGTTCTCCGCACCAGCAGCGTCCATAACTTTCCTGCTGAGGAGGTCTTGCTCACTCCCGGAATCAACAAGCCATGAGAACCTGCCTCCCCTTGGTGCTGGACCAGCAACGATAGTCGGGATGGTGGTAGGACATGTTTTCAACTTGATCAAGCTTCGACACTCACGACAAGTAAGCGACGATTCGGTGCACAGAAAACGACATGAGGGCACGGTTGCACGATCAAAGCTTCGAACAACTTCAGCCAACTGCCTAGCTTTTACTTTGGCCATGTGGGCTGCCTTTGGGTCGCTCTTGGGCACACGATCGCTCGTGGCAAAATGCACGCTGTACTTGCGCTGACGCTTGACCATCTTGCAATGTTCCCCGCGAGCAGGGATAGTGCGAATCTCGGGTTTCATAACAAATGTAGTCCTTCGGACAGACGACTTGGACCTTTTCCTCGCTGGAGGAAGACAGGACTTCTTGAGACATGACCGTCCGGGCACACCAGTTGCAAGACATGCAAACCGATTGCTCAGGCAAATGGCAGCTTTCTTAGTATCCCCTTTTGCCTTTGGCTTTGGGGAGTCCTTTCTTGGCTTCGTTTTCGGAGCCGGTGCTGCCTTTTCTCCATGTTTGAAAAGCACTTGTCTCCTCTTCTGCATGTACCTTGTTGATCGTACCTGCATGGGGTCTTTGCCATCTCCTCCTTAGTCATTCGCTTCTTTTCCTTATCTGTGCTTTTGTCCCTCGACTCATTCCGCTCCCGGGATGGTTGGCGCTTCTTGGAAGGATCGCGCTTGGGCTTTTCATGCTTAAACTTGCAATCTTTCCCTTTTGCACACTTTCCCTCCAAAAAGGCCCAACAAATGCCCTTCTCCCGAGAAGTGGATCGTCCGCGCGATGGCGAACGCTTCCGCCGAGGATCAACAGTAGGGGCTGCGTTCTTCTCATGTCGATCACCTGGCTTGAGCCGATTTCGCTCAGCAATACGTGATCGATTCTCACGAAGGCGTTCCCGATCTATCAGGTCCTTGGTACTTTGCAGTAGGAACTTGTAAGACCGATGATGGTCACCTTCTTTTGCACGATCAAAAAGATCGATGTCGTACCTCAGGATTGTGCTAGTGCGGATCTGCCTCAAAAGGATGTCTCGAAGCACGTTTTCGTGCGGTGGTTCGGGCATACCAGCGATGGTAGCGTCCCAGCGGTTGATGAAACGCTTCAAGTCCGCTACAGTATCGCCTACCTTTACCACATTGAGGAGATCTTCAACCCTGTAGAGGCTACCCGCTTCTTCCGAGGTCTTGAAATAGTCATCAAACATGAGAAGAATCATCCTTCCTCGAACCTGGATGCCTAGCTTTGCCTTCTCTTCTTTGTAATTGATGATTCGGTTTGCTAGATCACCCTTTGCACTTCTGGTCAGTGCAGCTGCCAACTTGGTATCCAACGTTGTGAACTTCCCAGGGTTAGACAACCGCTCTTCCAGAACTTTTCTCTCATCGACGGTGTTGTAAACCTCCATTAACCAGTCCCAGGCCGCATCTGGTTTGTCAGAACATGACTTGATTTCGTCCCTCACATGGTGTTTCCATTGCCGATAGGTTTCAGGGGTTGGCATGTCATTCAACTTGATATGATCTGCCTCCTTTACCTTTGGCTTCTCATCTGACTCTCTTTGAGTGAGTGACTTGACCAGTTCAATCACCTGCTCAGAGGTGATAGCACCTGACGACGCTGGCTTATGGGGTTCGCGAATTGAAGGTGCAGGGCTATGGAACAAATTTGTCGGTGTTTTGCCCCCATCCGCTGCGGTGCCTCCGTAAACTGGAAGCACAGGCTTGATAGGAGCAGCTGCCCCTAGTGGGGCATCACCGATGATGGTGGCCGTTGGCGCTTTGGGTGCGAACAGTCCACTCAAACGTGCAGTAGCCTCTGCTGCAATGGTCTCCAGAGGATTTTTCCTCTTTGTGTCATCATGTCTAGGGGTAGACACTGGTGTGTTCATGACACTTGTTGGATGATACTCTAGCTCGGGTCCAGCATGCATTTTGGCTTTAAGGTCATCGAGCATTTGCTGCAGACTATAGTTTTCATTTTCTGCGTCACGTAGCTCACGTCGAAGCTGAGTTTCCCGCTCATCGAACTCTGCACGAAGCGTTGCCACACCTTGCTCGGCACCACTGGTGATGGCAGCGACAGTTTGCTGACAATCGTGCATGAGCTGAATGCGCAAGGAGTCCAGTTCTGCTTTTCTGGCTTCAGCCTCACTGGACCTTTCACTCTCTAGCTTGAGGATTCGCGCTTTTGCAGCACTTAGTTCCCCTTGTACTTGATTGTAGCTAGATTGAGCTTGTTGCTTTACCGAACTGAGTTCCTCATGATGCTTGCTCGCTACTTCATCGATTGCTTGACGAAACTTGGTTTTTACCATGTTCAGCCATTGTCCCATTATTTCTTTGTGCCTTCTCTCTGCCTCAGCAATGATAGCGTCTTCGTTTCCGTTGTACACCTGTTGGATATTTTGCTGCACAAACTGAAAGTAAGCTGTGACAGGAGCTGAACCGATGGGGTCATCTAGATCCACCGTGGGCTCGGTCATGAGACCGGCTGGGACTGCTACCGATGATGTACCGTTCCCAGGAATAGCAAGAGCGTCCATGGCTGTGGTTAGAGCACTACGGCTGATAACCTATAGAAACAGCCGTTAAGCTGCAACTCCTGTTTTGGGCCGCGAGCTGCAAAAGGTGAAGTCATGACATCCTACTATGTGCAAGGTACAAAGTGTACATATTACATGGAGTGAAAATACAGCTATCTTTTACATCTTTGGAGACCTGACTGGTACATCTCTTCCACAAATCTTAACCGTATACCGTATTGTATATATATATATATATCTTGTGTATTCTTGTGGGCAGATCGGTCCAGGATGTAGGCCTGCAAATAGTCACTCCATCTCAGTCTCAACCCCTCCGCCGCCGGGGCACATGCTCAAGGGCCTCGTGCCACCTGGCGATGGCAAGTGCATCGCAACGAAGACAACCTGGGCTGTGGCCCGTGCATGGTGCGGGGCGGGGCATGCCCCTGGCCGGCCAGGCCTCTGGTCGACTGCAGGGAAAGAAAAAAACAGGTTGCGAGAGGACAAGTTTGCTTCTTGGTGTCCTTTTCCTTTTTTGCTGTCCCGGGCGTAGACACAAAATGTTGAGATGTCCAAGCTTGTCACGCTTCCTTCTCATGCATGTCAGCGTGTCAAACAACTCCAGGGACCGATTAGTTGCAAGTTGCGGAAATCCTGGAACCCTACCCATCCAGCTGTCTCCCTTCCAGCTGGGTCTTAAATTGTGCATTTAGGCCAGTGACCTGCTGAATAGGCTGCAGTCCTTAGGATTGGGCCCTGGAGGGGCCTCAGCATCGAATCCAAGCCACAGACTCCAGCACCATGGCCATCACAAATGCGTGCATCGCTGAAAGCTGGAAGTAAGCCACACCTCAAGAGGAACGAAAGGCGTCAATGGGATGGATTCTCATCAAAAAAACACAACGTGTTGCAGAGTGTGGGTCAGGAACAGGTACGAACTTCGTTGCAGGAAATCCTCACGCTCGGCATGGAGTGGTAGCTCAGTAGGGCACTCTGCTCGTGTGCACTTGATCGGAAGAAGCACACCCTGACAGGTCTCCACCGAGGTGACGTGATCTACAGAATGTCTGGAACCTGGAGAGGGAGCATCTTCTTCCAGTCCAAGACTTGCACATCCACGGTGAATTCATGGTTTGAGTACTGGAGGATCAAAGGGCATATGCAATGACATAAAGAGCGGGAGCGTTACGTCAAAAACACGTGAAGCCAAAGAAGACCATGAATGAGCACAGCCTATCAAAGCAAAGCTCACCACATTCGCCAATGGACTTAGTTTACAGGGTCCATGGAGGAGTGTCGATACCCTCCGGACTGCCCCAATGGCGGAACTGCAAACACCATCCGTCCGATCCCGCTGGACCTGCCGGGGGTGGACGTTGGGCAGGGTGCTGAAGGGTGTGACCCTCATCTGGCCAACAACAAGCGAACCTGGCTGACTTTCCGTCCAAGCTGCCGGCTTCAGCCAGGTTATACCTGAGCGCACGCAGCTGCAACAAACCACGATATACATAAATGTCATTTATATGCATAAGATTTTTGGACACTCCAGTTCAACCAAGATGTCAACCCAGGTCTTTGCATCAACAAACCAACGGGTATGAGTTTAAAAATGTCTATAAAGTAAAAACAGCAGGGGTCCTTGGATAGTTTCTTTTAAGTGTTCCAGGGAATCTGCGGACTGCACATGTCGGTTACAGCCATTTGGAAATGCCGGGAGGGCTCTATCTGCCTTCACTGACCTTCGCCCAGCTCACAGCATCTCCCTATCTTCGCGCCGGGCCACAGCAACCAGCCTCGCACAGGAAGTTCCTTCGGTGTCTCAGCCGGAACCAGAGGTCAAAGCCGAGCTGGAGGCTTCAAAAAGGGTAACACCCTGTGTTCAGTTTTCAGAGGTCAACAACTTGATCGCTAGAGGACATCGGTGGAGGACAACGTGAGAAAAAACGAAGAAACGGAGTGTGAGAATTACATGATCTGCAGGTTACTATATATTCTATGTGGACTTATACAACTTCTATTATGGGTATTGATGTTTTGGGTCACCTACCAAAAGAACGTGCACCATCTCTTGTTCTATCTATACGCGGGCCCAGACGAGATATGGTGAATGGACGCCCTTCCACTATCCGACTACCCCTTCCTCTAAGGAGCTTTTGATGAACATCCCTTAGCAGGCTTTGCCTGATGTCATTTCGGGAATTCAATTCTTTCCAGAAAAGAGCGGCATTTCCTTCACCCAACGGTCGCCTACACCGCCTAAATGGACTGCCGAGGTCCAGCGTTCATCAGAATCCGGGAACTCAAGGTACCCCATGTTTGGCAGCTTGGATTCCAGCCCCCCCATCAATGAATCCATCTGGTACAATGTGTTTCCATTTCAACATGTGAACCTGAAGGTTTTCGCCTCCGCGAAAACGCTCCGTGTTCAACCCGACCCATTCCTTTCGCTGGGCTCCTCGTTGATGGCCACGTTCCTGGCGCTTCAGGACACCGGGGAGCGCTCCGGTGGAACTGGCCCAGCACCGGCGTCCAGTCCATCGGGGGCTCTGATTCTGAGCGCGTTTCGTACGTCTCTTCACGTCGGGGCTCGGGGAAAGCATCGAACGCAAATGGAGCCCTGAAGGAGAAAAGAGACGGAAATTGGATGCCAGAGATATATATATATATTACTCACATCACCTGTGGGCTTGTCGTGGAATAGGAAGAGCCCCCGGCCCCCCAGCTACTGGAGGGTGTTCTTCGATGTTTTGGGATCGGTCGGAGTGTTCCTCTCTCAGGTGGATCGGGGGGACCCCTTTCTGCCACGAGAAGAAATGATTCGTCTCATCCTGGCAGACTGGCAGACTGGTTGGTCTTCGCATTGGACCACAAACAGGTTGCATGAGACTTCCCACAAACAGGTTGCCGTCTGAGTGGCATCACCTGCCCCGCTGCTCAACAAACGTCCAGGAGACACATCCAGCAACCCAAACTGATGGCAGAGCCATGGCTTTGGCTGAGAGGCAAGTGGAAGACCACGTCCCAAAAGATGCAAATCCAGAAATTCTCAGACTGATCGAACACCTCCTTGGTCGAGCTTCGCCACATGAGGGAGTCTTTGACCAAGGTGCATCGATCCTGGTAGAGCCGAATCTGTTGGCTCAGGGGTTCTCATCAGTCTCCCTACTCTAAGCCTTTGCTTGAAAGCACTGTTGAAGTATCAAATCTAGAGGAGCCTGGCCTCAAGCCCCGAAATCGCGAAGGAACGCAACAAATCGTAAAGCAGCCACCCCTCAAAACCCTCACCGAACGCCACAAAGGCGGCCGGGCTGAGTTTACTGAGCATCACTCACCCACGACTGGATCTGAAAGGGCCAAGTAAGACTTGAAAAAGTCAACATTCTCCACATGGCTCCGGCATGCTCCGGCTACCTCTTTAAGTGCATCTAGGAATCAAGCAGCAACACGCCACTGAGCTGGCTGAAAAAAACACCTAGCAAAAAGATAAACACGATCCATTCTATTCAATAATGGTACAGTGGTTTCAGAGTAGATGGCACAATCCCCAAAAGGTGGTTTATATGGACCCCCATCTAGAAGACATGTAGGGGTTTGTGCCATCTACTCTGAAACCACTGTAGTATTCAGCACCCTCCCTGCAACAATCATGGAAGTGGGCAACCCCCTCTTGGCAGAGGAAAATCGTCTTTCAAGGGGCGAGAACATCCACTTCCATGCTTGCTTTCAGGGAGTGTAACCAGTCCAATGAAACAGAACACAAAGAAAAACAAGCGACACATGACCACCTCAAGTGCCTCTTTCCCACTCGCAAAGCGCGGGCAGGGCTCAAAGAACTGGATGAAGATCACCCAGCCATTCAGCAGTTCGATGGCGAACATGAACCTAAGGTCAGCAGCGGGATCCACCCGGGAATGTACCAAGAACACTGCAAACTAATTCAGAAACATCTGTAACAAAGCTACTGAATGGTTCAAGCTGGGATCTACCGTCTGTATAGTTCCCATAGTCTGAAGTAGGAGGCCATGCTGCCATGCTGATCTTTGACTCGTTGATGGCGAAGCCCGTCCAAGCCCATGGTCCCTCCCGTCCCCAGCGAAAACGTCCTCCGACCATGTTGTTGTCATTCCAAGTTCGTACTTCCAGCTTTCCGGCACACGGTGATATGCTGGAAAAAATGGAAAACAGGGTGAATAACATTGAATAACCAACACCAGAAGAAAAGAACCAACTCAAGAAGGAGCTACGTATCTGATCCGACCAGCGCTGGTCTTTCTTTAAGCCTCTGCCGCATGATCACGACCTGGTACGATCACCGTCGATATCACTGGTCTCCACCTCCCCCCGCATCTTCCTTCGGTCACCGTTGTCTTCCTGAAGACGCCCAAAGACGCCACGATGAAGACCCCCACGGCGAAGCCCATGGAGGCCTCACTGAAGAAGGGCATGTCTAAGGTGAAGCCCAAGGAGCTCCTTGGAGCAACGACACGTGGAGGTCACGAGAGGATCCACAGCCACATAAGTGGATGGCATAAGGTGCCGGGTGCTGGGTGATGATGGGTTTCACATGCATCATCCTCTTTCACCATGGTGCTTCGAACCTCCAAATGCCCAAGCTGGGCTTTCCAGCAGGACACTTGGAAACTACACACCTCTAGGAGGATCACCTTCCCTGTCCGTGCTTGCGGGCGGTGGTCGATCAAGGCCCTATCGATCGGACCAGATCTTCAAACGTCTCCGTCCGTCGCTCATCTGTCAGGGCTCAAGGATCGGCGGTCCAGACCTTGGGTCGTTCGGCCCGTGCAACGAGCAAGGTGATGGCCATGGTTTTGCGTGCCTTCCGTCTTGACAGAATGGGAAGCACATGAAAGCACGATTCATATTTACAAAAACACACATATATATAGCATAATACATATATATATAACATTATATAACCAAAAAACAACCTGAGACCGTCTCACAATCAGGCGTGCCGTCCAACCACAAGCCACGCGGCCCCACTTTTCAAGAGCCTATCGAACAGGCTACTGATCCTGATCCTGATCTTCGGCCACATGCGGCCAGACACCAAGACCCCTCACAGAGTTGATCGAACAGTTCGTACAAGCTTTTGGGAGGATGAACGATACTGAACCCATCTATATGGGTTCGGTGGCTCCGGCCCAGCAAATAGTAATGGTGCAGATGACTCATGAGTCCTCACCATCATGGTAACGAGCTTTCTCAATGATGTTTGAGTGTCTGTTGATCATTCAGGTTCCGATACTAAGACCCAAAGGGTCTAAGAGTTCATTCCTTTACCGTCTCTATCCGTCTCTCGAGGTGAGATAGTCTGATTCACTTGCGCCTGGTCCTACATGCGCAACACAAGGCAACACCCATATATGAACACACAAGTGTCTACCCAATTTACTGGAAAAGATTGTAAAAGCCTTCCAGGAGGCATAGTTTAGCTTCTGCAGGTGCCTATCAAATCAGCATCAAAAAACAGGCCTCCGGTCTCCTCCGGTTCTTTGCCCAGATGCTCACGCACATGAACCATACACCCAGCAAAGCACCAACACCTCATCGCAGGAGCTGAGATTGCTGAAGCTACTCTTAAAAATGCTGTGAAGAGTGGGGTGTCCTCCAGTCAGTTTGCTTTCGTTTCGTGCTTCTTCTACGACCACACTTCTCATGATGAAAAAGCTTGAGCCAAGACACCCATGCCACAGCGCATGCAAGCATCCTTGCCTCAGACCAGGAGCAGGATGACACACCTGTACTATCATCCACCTGTCTCACGGCAAAGCTAGGCAACGCCCTCATCATCTTCCTGTATAATACAAACATGTTTGACACGATTGACATTGGTGAAAACTAGCCTCCCCATAGAAAACCCTTAGCTTGAGGTCTCTCGAACATACTGTGATTTATGGATTTGGTCAAAAAATTGTGATAAATGTTTCCTTAAAGGCTTTACATCCAAACTCTCGCAAATTGTGGCGTGCGCAAGAAATCACGATGCCGAACATCCGAATCACGCAGAAAATCAGAAAGTCCGAGCATCAGCGCTGGCGACCGGTGACATGGTTCAGGAAGAAGGGTTGTCCCACTCTGGACTTATAGGGCTGCAGTTCCTCAAAGGATCCAGAAAAATTGGACATGTATTTTTGATTTGGGGTAGTTCCAGGAATCCTCCAAAAAAGGCACATTCCATTGTACGCAAGGCTGTTAAAGGGCTTTATGACAGGCCCCGGTATGGTTGTGCGTTGGGCATATTATCGAATGCATATACTGCACTATAGTCATACGCCTGAGGCGGGTTTCTGGTCCATCCATGTGCACATAAACATACATAGATCTACAACAAGGTAAATGCACCAGCACTAGGCGACAAATCACGGACTGTGGACCTTTTATTATCTCTTTAGTGATAGAACGCCTAGGGTGGAACCAGGACCTTCTGCAACCGTTCTGAAATCCTCTAGACTCTAGACTCTACTGAAATCTTACACACTGCAAGTAGTTGTGTGTGTGTGTGTCCGTCTGTTCTGACGATCTGCTGCACCACCTTGACGCCGGCATCAAGTGGAAGTTTCTATGTTCAAAAGCAGCTGACTCTCTCTCTCTCTCTCCCCCTCTCTCTCATTGTCAACTAGGTGGGAGTGAAACGTTAGGTGGGTGATCCCCAGCCTGACAAGAGTCCTCTCTCTGAGCGACTCCGAGTTCGACTCTTGTCCCGACCAGTCCACCCTTGTGTCGCACCTTTGGCAGCTCAATCGCTGGCCATGTGATACGCCTTGCAGGGGGAAACGAAAGAGGGCGAACTTGGCGATGTATATATACACTCCGAGCAGATGTGAGCAAATGCATGAAGGAATTTGGAGTCCAAATGGGGTGCGCATGATAAGTCCATATGATTCACTCGTTGGTGTTAAAGATTGGATGGCGATAGAACATGATAGAACCACACTCCCCATCACTCCCCAATGGAGTCAGTGGAATGCCACATGCTGTAACTGTCGCCACGGTCACAGGGGAATCCTCGATCACCCAAGAACTTCTGCAGTCAGATTCTCAACCAGGAATGGTCCGACCCCATCTTTCAGATGTCACAGAGACCCTGAGAGATCACAACCGCCTGGAACATGTCACCAACACTTTCAAAATCCTCCCACGCTTGGTTGCCATGATAGCTTGGTGGCAAACACGTGTACAAACTGATGTGGGGCTTGCATGCCAAATATGCCAGGGCTGCGTAAGGGCATGCAGTGAGGACAGCGGACAGGTATCGCATGATGTCTTATTTTGGGTATATCATGGTATACCGGTATATCGTGAGTTCTTCTGCAGGAAAGCCATGTCCACTATTTAATGGCGTTTTGGCACATTGATTGCAGAATTTCTCTGGAGTAGGGACACGTTGAGCAAAGAACACAGGTTGACCCCATTAAAACCTGTCATTCCATTCCATTCTACCACCTCCTGCCGGGCTGCGAGTCGTGGTGGATCACCTCCTCTTTCAAGGGATCCCAGGGCAAATCACCTGTGATGCATGACTTGAAAACTCAAAAACTCGACCCTCCTCCCTGGCCATCTGAAGCCTATTCCTGTTCTGCACGAGGCCCGGGCCTATTCAGGGTGGGGGAAGATCGTCGATTAATATGTAGCCGTTGAGCTTGCTAAAACGCAAGACTCTGCGGAGCAACTGCTAAGTGTTCATGGTGAGTCTGAGGAGCCCTGATGTTCCCGCTGCCTTGGTCCATTGCAGGTCACCTCTCAGATGTACAATCCAAAATCTCTAAAATTGTCTGTTGCGCTCCCCGAATTTGATATTAATAACAAGGAATTAATAGCGATGCAGTGAGTAATTATTGCTATATATATATATATGTAGTAAAATGTAAATTTATGGAACATCTCATGTCTCCAAAGAACTGGCACATTCTCTATCGGCGTGTTCTTACCAGGGTGGAATCGCTGATCTCACCAAATCGATCCAGTCATCTCTCCCCGCCATCGCCCACCTGGATCTCCGCAAATGCGTCGGGCCAGTTGCAACCCTCAGCTCCGGACACGAGATGTCGACGTGTGTCAAGCTACCCAGAGAGGTGGCTGTGGCTGAAACATTCCATGAAAAGACCTGCAGCTTTGGATGTGGATAGTTCTTGAACCTCAAATCCAACCTCAAAATGAGCGGACCGAACTACCAGCCCTTAATGTCAGCCAAGTACTCTGGTTTTGGGACAGATCACGTTCGCTGCCCGTTGCCTGCCCCTTCACCATCGTACAGACAAGACGTCACGCGGCGCCAACACTTTCAATCAATCTATGGTTGACTGCAAACGAAAACGACCCAAAACCGCAGCCCAAATGCCAAGGCCCAGGAAGAGATCATTCAAGAGACCCTGACGTGCGAGCCATGTCCAGCTGGGCTCAAGCATGCTGCTGTGATGGAAGAAATACAATCAAGTTTGGAAAGGCTTCATTGAAAGACTTTGAGAACCGTAGACGCATCCAATGATGGCTCAACAGTTTTGCATTCTAGAAGATGGACTGTGTCAAGATGCCACGCAATACATAGAATGTGTGGCCAAAATCCCATGTCACCACTCAGATCTGCACACCCTGACCTGGGTCACAAAGAAGATAGGCAAGCGAAGAAAAATGCCTCAAGGTGGAAGGGTGTGAACTAGACGAGGACAAAAGTTCATCAACTGTCAAGGTTTGAATGCCGTTCAAGGGTTTACAAGCGATGTTAAAGAAAGATCGAGTGGCCTGGCACTCTCCATCCTATAATTTTAAAACTTTTAAAAACAAGCATCATTGCAGCATGTTGCGGCCACTCCCTGCACACCATCATGACCCCAAGTGGAACAGAAATGGCTTTGGATGGTCGTCCAATCGTTTTGCAAGCATGAGATAAAGGTGCAAGTCCGATTTGCATGCAAATGCTTCACCCCAAAACTCTAGAGCAACTTGTGCACATGGAAACTGTTCACCGCCTTAGCCTCGCCTTTGCATTGTGTTTGCATCTATTGGATGAGATAGGGGAATGCAACCTTGCTTTTCTCACATAACGAGATGCCCGACCTGTTGATTCGGGTGTCACATGGGTTCAATATGGTTCATATACTCTTGAAATCTCTTGAATACCGAATGCCAGGCCATGGGTGTCACTCGCCTCCTCACTTGCCCATCCCATCCTCTCATCTCACCATCTCCGTTAAGCCACTGGTCTTTCTCTCCACCTCGACAGAAGGCGACTTGGACTTGGCAAGGTCAGCACAGCCCGAACCAGAACACAACAAAGGTAGGGTTCAGGAGACTACCGCAACATGAGGTCTGGAAAGGTTATATAGATATAAGTTGTCTATAACAACGAGCCCCATGAGCTTTCATGAGGCTTTTGAGTCTCAGTGAGGTCTATGTAGGTGCAGAGTAGTTGCAGTAGTTTTAACCATCTTTTGCCCTTGGTTTTGCCGGCCTGCCCGGCCTGCAAATCGATCTTGTGACTATATACTACTTTAAAAAAAAAAACACACATTCATATGGCAAGGCCAGGACCGCCTGTTCTGAAAAAGTCAAATAAAAGGCAAAGCCAAATGGAGAGAAAAGTCAAGATTAGAACACATCTCGAAAAAGCCAAAAACAATTGCACATAGAAGTCAAAACAAGTTAACATCTAAAAATCGGCTCAAGGCCAACTGGCTTGTTTTGTGCCTTCTTTTCGACTTTCTGAAACTTTCTGATTTGACTTTTTTGCAACTTTGACTTTTGGCAGCAACTAGTAAGTTGATGTTTTACGTTGTTTAATAACATATTGAAAAAAAGGCTCTCTCCAATGAAAATGTTTGTAATGCTATAGACTATAGTGTACATAGTTACTATGAACCCTTCAACCATGCAGCCCAATCTGCAGCTCACTTCTTTTCTCTTGAGGTTCGCTCTTGGAGAAGGGCATCAACGATGGCACCATCAACCCTTCGCCACTCTTCCCCCGCCAGTTGTCTGATTTGAGGCATCTTTGCCAATCTGAACTCAAACCCGCCAGTGTGCTGCCGGCGTCCTGCCAAGCAATGAAAAATACTTCCACCGGATACTTGAAGTGCATTTGAAGCGCCGTTGATGGAAGGATGCCATCTCCATCCCTCTCTGCTACCACGAAGTCTACTTTCGACCGGTTTTCCATCTGACCTGGTGCGTGCTTTTCCATTGGCATATCGGTGAGCTATATTTTCAGCAGCTGTGACATACTCCAGGTTAACAACCGAATTGTTCCCTTTGTCCAGGTCTTTGTGGTTGACTTGGTCCTGCTGGCTCGCAGAGGGGCCCAAAAAGGCAAATGCCACCAGGCGATGAATCATTTCAGTACGTCTGCTGAAACCCAGGCTGAGTGAGGTCACGTTGTAGCCCTGCTTTGTCTGGCACCCTCTTGAGATGATATTAGTTTTGGAGCGGATCCTGCCAAGTGAACTCACAAATCTTCCAGCTACCTTGGAACCCGACATGGGGTCAAGCATTTCTCGCCACTCCTCCCCATCAAGCGCGGCGGCCTCACCACGATCAGCAAGCTGAATCTCAATGCCCTTAGCTGGCTTGCCATGGCGGCATCCCCTGGAAATGGTGTCAATGCTCATGCCGAGTTGTTCTGCTGCTTGCGTCATGGAGGGCGAGATGGTCCAGCTGTGGGACCCAACAGGTCTCCACATCACAGGCAGTGACTGTTGAGGACCACCTGTGCGCCTGGGTTTTGCATAGGATTCCTTCAGATTCTGGCTTTGCGTTACATACTCCAGGTTGTCCAAGTGATTATTGGAGGGATTGCCATCGCGGTGGTGAACTCTCCAAGTGTCATCTGCTGGCGGAGGTCCCCGGAAGGTGAAGACCACCAATCGATGGACAAAGAATTGAGTGCAAGAAATGTTGGCCACACGGTACCCCGATGATTTCAAAGATCCATACGATATCATCCCTCTTGTGTTGCAAACGCGTCCATGCGTGCTCACTTGCCATTCCTTCTCAACCCTTAGCCTCTGGACGGTCTGACTGCCCAAACACCGGCCTTTGAAGACAGGACTCCTACTGGGCATGCGCCACGCACCCAAAACGGTTGCCATGAACCCATGAAATATGGACGGCAATTCCCTGATTTTAACTCTGGCGCTCGCCCAATCGACCTAGATAGTTTCTCCTCAACAACTGCTTGCCTACCATGCAATCCTGTGAAAGTGATCAATGTTGAAGTGCTGGAACAAACCTAAACAGCTGGGCAAAGCCATGCGTCAACCAAGCTTGGGAGGGAGAGAGAGGCAGGGGGGAGAGAGAGAGAGAGAGAGTCCAGCATCGAAATGGGCCAGTAAATCTGTCGTTGGGTCCAGATCAACCATCCCATGGATTCCACCCGAAAGTAAACATGAAATCACGCCTTGAGGCAGTAACCTGTTCCTGATTTCTGGACGCCAGAAGCTAACCTCATGCCAACTGCACTCTCCTTGGCCAACCGGCTGTGGCTGACAAACCCCGCCAGGCCCTCCAGGCAGTCATTCAGCTACGACTTACCTTTTCTTATGTGGGGGGGGAGTTGCAAAGGAGAGCACGTGCCTCCAAACACCAAGAGCAATTCTCCAATGCATCTTCTTGACAGGATTCTTGACAACATGTTTCTATCTAGAATCTAGCTAAGCAGCTAGGAACCCATTATAGTTATCCAAAAAAAACATGCACAAAAAAAGATCACACATACATATGTTATCCTTATATAATTCATATGTATATAGATCACACAATATGATCAACTACACCGTCCCTCCCACGCCCCACCGGTCGCCTCGGAGTGAAAGCTGTCGCTGGCGCCGGCGATGAGGCCGAAGCCACAAACCAGCAGGCAGGCCACCAGGCGGATGCCCAGCATCAACAAAGCACCTGAGAGGTTTCGTTTTTGGTTGAACACATCCCAAAAAAAAATGTGTTGTTTTTCTGTTTTTGTGCCTGGTTCAGTGTATCTCCACTTATAAATCTCTATATATCACATACATATACATACATATATAGATATATATGTCATATATATATATTACACTCAAAAATATGGATGGATATGTATCCTGCTTTCTCCTCACGGACGGAGAGAGTCAGGTAATTAAGGGACCAAACTCACCATCCACGTGGGGGGGGTTCACATCGATGTATCGAAAGGGCCTGGTGGATGACAAGACCCCCACGGGACATAGTTCAAGTGAGGAATATGGAACGGTTCGCCGTCTAGGAAGCCTCTTAGGGCAGTGGGTCAGACATGCTCCAGCTCACTCACGGAAAAATAGATCACGACACCAAAAGCCCTCTGAGTATCACACTCTGCGGCTTCTCTTGGCTCTTCGCCGCCTGAACACAGCGAGAGAGGTTGAGTTCGAACAATGTACACTCCCTGGAACTAACATGGAAATGGAGAATGGCCCCGAAAGGAAGACCATTTTCCACTACAAACTGGTGGTTTTCCACTTCCATGTTAGTCCAGGGAGAGCGTGCCAGCAAGCGGAGCGAGGAAGGCGCTGTAAGGCGCTTCCTGCTTAGCACCTTCGCGATTTCCCCATCTGCTGTGCTCCAAAAGCACACTCGGTAGACTGCGAACAAGTGAAATCCCTGCAGCTGTGCTGTTTATGCTTGTTCATGTTGGTCTAGGGAGGTAGCGAAAGCATGCGGAAGCTGATGAGTCATCTCGTATTTGTGCAAATGCAAGTGCTCATGGCTCCTCACGGTGCATTTGGAGTACGGCAGGGGACGCCGAAAGTGTCTCTTTGAAGTTCGTTGAACATGTTGCCGTAGGGATTGGATTTAAACCGTTTAACCAAACCGCTACTATCGTGGCCCTACCTCCAACCATCCCCGGGTATAAGAAGGTATAAAAAATGTTCGCATGCTTTGTCTGCGCATGATGGGGATGCAACCCACACCCACCCAAAGCAAGAGTTGCTTGCCACAAAACCTACCACTCTGGTACCTTTAGTAGAGACACTATATATTATATAATATATATACAGTTCTCACTAGTGTACCAGTCAGGGGGCAGGCACCAATTAGCAATTTGTAACAAATTTGCCGCCTCCACCAAGAGAACTGACGCAACATGCTTCATTGCAGTGGACCGTGGCTGCGTTTTCGAATAGCAAAGCCTCGAAATCACTACTACCCTGATGGTACTGGGCATGTTAAGTGTAGAAAGCAACATCATTTTGAGAGACAGAGACACCCATGTGCCATCAATTTCCCAATCACACAGTCGCTGAGGGGCAAATGTACACTGTACACCACCTGGCCTTTTTCTCCTCCTTCTTGGCCTGGTTCTTCTGACGCTTCATGGTCCGCAAACAAGGGACGGCAGCTGCTCATTGGCTGCTCAAACGGCTGCTCATTGCCCACAAGAGCTGCTGGTTTGCTGTAATTTGAAGTCTGGTGCTCTGCCAAGTTGTGTAAAACAAACTTTCGGGCACGACCCCACTGGAAACCCCTAGACTCTATATAGCATGATCTGCCATATGGATCGGCTCAGGATGTGGATCTCAGGAAATCAAAAACAACAAACACCACTCGATGACGGGTCTTTTTTTCAGGTCTGAGTCGGCTGCCATGTGCTACTGGCTGCGTTGCATGCGGGTTACCGGGCTCCTCTTCAACTGCTTCACGTTGTAACTGCGCTCGAGCATAGCTAGTCCGCTCCGTCCATCTTGCTACGCTTGGCGAGTTTTCTCATCCCAACCCGGAGGCACTCCAGGCACGCTGGGGACAGCCACGCGACGGTCGGCGAGAACGGTGTGCCATTCTAGTGCCAATGCTACAAACGAGGTCATCAAACTCTTGCCAAACTAGCCTATGGATTTCTAAGGTGCTAAGCCGCAAAACTGCAGAACAAGTTTAAAGTTTAAGGAGATTGAAAGATGGCGCCAGGGGCAATAAACCCCCCCTTGACAACTCCACACTGAAGGTTGCATGGTTTGGCGCTCGACGGCGCACAACAAAAGGGCAGCATTTGAGGAGCCCGGACGCGCGCAACTTGGCAAACCTGAGCAGGCATTGGATGCCCTTGAAGTGGCGGGTCAGAACTTCTGGGATTCAAGGTTGGAAAAAACAACAAACAAATTATAGATATACATTTATAACTACACTTATATACACCAAATCCACTGCCCATGGCCATATCTTGGGTCCACCCAGCGCCCATTTGAGTGATGGACAACATTTCTATTATTTCGCTGGTGTGCTGGTTGAAAATCCACATGGGAGTTGACCATGAACAGTGGCCTCAAGAACCAAAAAGGCATCATACGTCGCGTGTTTCTACAAATGTGCGATCTTTGCCACGGCCTCCAGAATCCAACGCTGTGATATAGGTTATGAAAGCATCGTGAACGTCGAACAACGACTTGAAGGTCGATGCACCAATCACACGTTCGCTTCCCCAAGCGAGCTACTAGCTCCCTCGCCAAGACCAAGCAAAAGCAAAAGAAATAACATGACCTTCCAAACACCAACCTGCTCGTGGTTCACCACTGTGCACTAGGCCCTCAGCCCACCTGTCCCCAGCCTCCAAACGATACGGGACAGGTGTCGCGTGTCACACTCATCCAGCCTCACATGCACAGCTTGACTGGGTTCAGTCCCTGGAGGAGCCGGAATTGCAACGCCATAGAAGACTTCGAGGGGTCTATGTCTGTCTAGAATATCTTCGGTCGGATGTCTTCGGTCGACTCTGGAGGGTGAAACTCTTCTCTCTGAGTCTCTCCTTCTCTCTTCTAAATGCCGGTCCTTCCTGCAAGATACAAGTACTGCCAATCAAACTCCGTTCGTTCGCCCCCACCTTCGAGTGTAGAAACCGGATTCTTAGAACAGTTTCCATCAAACAACATCCAACAACAAATGTTCTATGGGACATGTCATGTCCATCACAAGACCGGCGACGGGTCGACGCGCGGACTTCGGGTGCCCCGACTGGTGAAGCACAGAGTCGGCCAAGGTGCGCAACCTCTGTCTCGGCCATGAGCTACGGAGTGGAAGACTGTTGGACATGCAGGTAGTACCGGAGTCAAGGTGGTGGTTTTGATATGATTTAGGCTTTGGGATGGCTTAGGGGTGCTTAGGGATTGAAATGCCAGTGGGGGGCGGTTTGGGGATGAGGGTTTGGAGGCAATCTTGAGAAAAGGGGCGGTGAGGCTTGCAGGAAACTGCCCAAAGGTGCCAAAGCGACTTGCTCTACAGGATTGTAGGGGCCACCTGCCCCCGTTTTCCCCAGCGGAATTTACCAAATTCTCTGCCCAAAATATAGTTGCGACAAATCTGCACGTCACGGATTTTGATATATATATATATTGTTATTTTCTACTGGTTCTGTAGGGTTTTCTATGCTTGTACGATATCAACCCTGAAAACAAAGAGTTGAAGCGGAAAAGTAGCAACTTGAAACCGCCGTCCAGAGTTCCAACGCAATTTGCCACGTTCGACTAAGCCAATACATTTGCTGGTTGCCTGGGTGGCTTTTGGATGGCAACTTCGAATCACCTCAAGGTAGGTCTTTTCTGCAGCCCATGCAGGGTCTCCGCGCAGGGCATCCACCCATTCTTTGGCCAAGGGGGCAGGTGCACGCCTAAAGAATGGCAGCTCTATATACAGTGCAGATCCTCCGGAGAATCGCATGCATGCAAGACGCTCCGGCAACAGGGCACCAGGAAAACGTGTGTTTGATTCTATTAGGAACAATGTTCGCTACTAGGAACAAGTGCATCGCTACTAGGAGCAAGGGCCTTACTAGTAGTAACAAGAAGCTACATGGTTGGGATCCTCCCAGGGTTACTTGTTTCTAATTGAATTCTTGTTTCTAATAGCTTCTTGTTCCTAGAAGTAAGGCACTTGTTACTAGTAGCCATGCACTTGATACTAGTAGCGAACATTGTTTGATGTTGTCTACATGGTTCGGATCCTCCCAGGGCCCTGCAGAGGGTCAGAGGATCTGCCAGGCTTCTGGGGTGGCCTAGAGGCCAACGCTTCTCCGGGGTCATCCGTAGGCATGGAACCACTTCCGTGTGCGCGGGCACCTGGGATAGGCTTGAGATCTCTGGGAGAAACTCGAACATCACACCAATCAAATATGATCTAGGCCCAGCTGATGATCTACATCAACTTTAACAATCATTCCACTTTACAACGCCATTAAAGGATATTAAAGGTGTGTTTGTTCTTCGAAGCACGAAGCTCAGCTGCAGATCAGGGCGCCCAGAAGCTCGGATCAGGTCTCCCAGCAAGCTGAAGACGAAGGAACTGGACTCCTTCAGCGGCAGCTGGTGCAGGGGCGGCACATGGATGAAGAGGCACGGCACGAGCGCTCCACGGCAGCGGGCTGTAGGCTTCTCGCGCTCACGGAGCTGGTAGAGGGTTCGGTAATAGATCTCATTGCAGAAAAAGGTGCCTGTCAGAAAAGAGGCCACTCACGTGGGTGAGTTGATGGAGAGGTTTGGAGGATTGTGGACCGGGGTAAATAAATGGAAACAAACTCTTAGTTGAGATGGGGAATGGGTGTGCATCAAGAAAATGAAAGAGATTATGATATTATGATAGATGTTATGACAGCATGAGGGTTGGCATGAGGCATCAAAAATTTGAATATGCCAAGGCTATCAGCATCTGAATCATCATTGTGTTAGCTCGCTGCTGCAGTACAATGGTCTGCTTTCATCCCTTGCCATCACAAGGGGCGTCTGAACACCTATATAGAAGTACACTCGCACACTTCCTTCTCCAAAACCCAGGAAGACTAGCGACTATAGCACTTGGAAGTCCCAAAAATCGGAGGATGCTTCGTGCTATAGTCGCACGTCCAACGTGGCCCTTCCGTCCTTCCGTCCAACCGGGCCAACCGGGCCGACCTGCATCTCGGCTCCAAAGCTCATGGGGGTTCTTCGTATTTAGTGCCACGGCCCCGAGATCCCCGGTGGTCGGAAGCAACTTGGGGCCAGTCGGCACCACTGGGCCTGTGCCGGAGAGGTGAGAAGGAAGGAACGGGAAGAAGTCAGAAGGAAAAGCTTAAAAACGGGCTTCTGTAGCACCAAAACGACACATCCCGCAATACCCTGCATCTGAAAATAGGAAGGATCAAACACAAATCAAAACAAGCCATCAAAAGAAATTCATAAATGCCCAGATCTTTAAGTGGTTGAACTTCTTTATGGATTGTACCAGTCACTTTGGGACCTTTGTTTTCAGCGCGCGCATTGAAGGCCATGGTCTCCAGCTTCAAGCCTTTGGCTTCATCCTCAAAGCCTGGGAGTGGTGGGTGAAGCAAAGACGTACAGCGTCTTAGTTCAGCTGTAAGGGATGGGAATGATGGGATGCACGGATCGTGCGTTTGGTCAAAGACCGCATCAGAGAGGAGTTTAGGGGATGTCTTTTACTTGGTTGAGTGATCTTGTGGAGGGGCCACTCTTGGATATTGAGGGTCTATCTGAGAATCTGGTGAGAGTTAGGGCCACTCCCTCGCCGGATGCTTCGATGATTTGTTTAAGCTTTTCTCGCCGGAGCGAGCGACCTAGGCGACCTCTCAGGTGACCGGGTCGCTTTGGTTTCGTCCTCTCGACGGGTCTCATCCCGAGCGACTGAGGATCCAAGAAGCCTAGATGGACAATCGCATCCCAAAGGCCATCCTCGCTGCGGTGAGATCAATGTTTCCAGATGTTTTAAGACCTCGCGACCAGAAAATCACTACAGGTGAGACAACGGGGTTCAGAAGCGCTGCCCCTGCCATGATTTTAGTCTAATGCCCTAGGGTAAAGGGATTGTTGTTCTAATCCGCCATGGTTTGAGTTGCGACGGGATAACTGAGCTCTTCTTTCGTCCAATGTTCGGATGTTGGAGTAGACCCTAGGTTTCCAACCACCATGGTTCTCATGGTCTTTATCAAAAAAACATTTTACACTACAACACCAGGTCAACCTTCTTGTGAATGGTCTTGGAAGCCTAGGGAAATGGTAGGACATGTGGGACCCACTATGGCCCGATCGTGCATCAACCCACTTCACCTCGATCATTCTTGATCCCTCAGGCTGTTTAAAGACGTTAAAAGGAAGACAGCCCGAGCACTGTTCTTCGCCTGAGACCCTATTGCTCAATCACCAGTAGGGAACCTATGCCAAGGAAAGTTTCCATGCAAGTTTCCTGGAGAGGATCCACGACACAAATATGAAAAATCAATACTCCATCACTGTTGATTGCTTATAGACTCAGTCTGGGGTGAGTTGATCGAAGTGGCATTGGCATTAGGACAAAGAGGGAAGAAACAAATTGACCAACCAGCTTTGCAGGGATCCGTGTTCCTGTTTTGCTGTTTCCTTTGTCTGTCCTCAGGTAGGCTCTTTGGCCGGAGTCTTCAACGAAGCCCACCACTACACTCACCATTACTTGTTCGTGGCCAGGCGTCTCGCACCATCTGCGAGGCTTCCAGAACTCCGGCTTCACTCACGTCGATGCGAATGCTGTGGATCAACAGATCTTCCACAACACTGCCATTCAAGGCCTCCGCCACCTGCGGAAGAAAGAAGGTGGACGCACAAAGCGCGGCTGCAGGGCTGCGGGGCTGCAGGGCTGCAAGGTTGCAGGGTTTGGTTTGTTTCCACTAGGCGAGAGGGGACCGCAGCCCAAAGGCCATCCAATGCTAGCCAGATCATATGAATGTAGGCGCACGCGGTAAAAAGTTAGTTTTCTTCGAGTGACCCCACCATGACATTTCATACATGGATATTCTTTCTGACATTCTATCTGGCAAATTCTGTCTGGCATTTCTATCTGGCAAGTTTATCTGGCATATTCTATCTGACATTCTACCTGGTATTCTATCTGGCACTGTATCTGCCAAATTCTATCTGACATTCTTTCTGGCATTGTATTGGGCACTCTATGTGGCATATTCCATTTGACATTCTATCCGGCACTCAATCGGGCTTCTTTCTATCTGGCACATTCTATCTGACATTCTATCTAGCATTCTATCTGGTATAATATCTGAGGTTCTATCTGGCATTCTATCTGGCATACTCTATCTGGTATGATATCTAACATTCTATCTGACATTCTTATCTAGTGGTTGAGGTCTGGTGGTGCCCACTGGACTGGGACGCTGCCGGTTGAGGTCCGGTGGTGCCCACTGGACTCGGACGCTGCCGGCTGAGGTTCGGCAATGCACACGACTGCACTCGGGAGCTGGCGGTTGAGGTCCGGCAGTGCCCACTGCGATCGCGAGCTTGTGGTTGAGGTCCGGTAGTGCCCACTGCAATCAAGAGTTGGCGAGGAGATGGCGAGGAGGAGGAGAAGAAGAAGGAGAAGAAAAAGAAGGAGGAGGAGGAGGAGTAGAGCTGAGATAAAATCTAACAACCCTCACCTGGCAGGTGGGGAAATATGTGAGGTTGTTTATATTGACAGGATGATGATGGATGATGCTAGTTTGTCGTAAAGTTGGACTGAAGTATTCTGAAGTCCTCCTCTTCATGCGGAACGTGTTCCTTCGATAATGAGTTTTTCCAGGCAAATTCTTTGTTATTAGCTATTCTGTGGCTTTCAGTCATGGCAGCCTGCTTTCTCACCTGTGAGAGAGGGAGGGCATGGCTTGGCAGAAAACGAAAGCAGCTAGCAGCTAGACACAAGCCTCATGTCTTCTACATCTGTAGACTCCATGCGCACCTCTCCGGACGGGTTCTGGCTGAAGTTCCCCCAGCGGTTGTAGCCCGTGAGCAGGATCGCCGCCTCTGAGGTTACCACCCAGGCCATGAAGCTCCAAACATGGCACGCCATCGACGGACGCTGTGACCGGCCACGAAACGAGAGGCCAATGGCTCGGCGGTTCAGAAGCTGTTCAGGTTGTTTTGGGCGCCTTCCGAGAGCGCAAGTTTCAGCAACCAAACGGATCGAAGTTGCTAGCTAGCTAGCCATAATATGGCTCATATAGGTCAAGGGTGAAGGGATCTGAAACATGCGGCTCCTCCAGGTCCTTCTGTTTGAGCCATGTGCCCAAACAGGAAAATGCGCAAGGAACTGGAAATCGCCAACACTGGAAGGACACTCCACCACGGCAGGATCATGTGTGGTTGTGTGTGATCAGTTCGTCTCTATCATGCTTCTCCGAGTCCCTGGGAGGTTCCTCAGAAAAATCTCTTAACGCATGTCATAGACTCATAGCTGGCCGAGGAGCACGAGGTCACTGCGTAGCCATCCTGAAAACCCGGTCCCCGTCGACCGATATCATATATCTGGGTCCCCCTGCATCTGCCGCTCTCGCACCCGCAGCCATGCCAACGACTACGACGTGGTGGCAAGATTGAAGGGCTTAAAGTTCGGAAGCTGCTCCTGGGCCCTCAGCTGGCTGACATGCTGTTGGGCGGTGGTGACCCATTTTTCCGGGCAAGATCACCGAGACTCGCGGCGTTGGATTTGCAGAGGCAGCTGGGAATGATTGGCAAGACCCATCTTTTTTGGGTGAAAACTCATCTAGATCATCTAGTGCTAGGCCATGCATGTGAACAATCGTTCTCAAAAAAAGCTCAATGTTTCTCCATTGTCCACACCTACCTGCAAGCACACACACACAAACCAACGAAAGTCCGCCCCAACACTGAGGTTGCGGCATCTCCAGGATAGGCCTCTGCAAGCGAGTCACATCCAACCAGGACAGTCTTTTGGACTGCATGCTCTGGAAGCACACTGGTTTGGTGGGCCATGTTGATCTAAAGAAGAAGTCATGACTGGAGAAAAAATTGGGGAAAACTGGAAATAACACCTACCTAAGTGCGTTGTGAAGTGCAATTACGTTCTGCCAACCTGAGTGTGGTGCATTCCGATTGGAACCGATCACGGACAACATTTGGTGTCCCAAGGAGTCCAAGGAGGTTGAGTTTTTGTCTATATATAAATTAAAGGCTGATTTGATGCTGGTCGAACCCGTGAATTGCCCACGCAATTGAGATAGCTTTCAGCATCAGTACTGGCTCAAATTCTGATACCTGGATCCATGTCAAGTGACGGCAGCGCTCTTACTTCCATAAACGGTAGTACATGGTAGTAGTTACTACACCCACTCGCTTATGTTTCACACATCTTGATACAAATTAGTCGCTCAATCGCATGATCTTATCGCAAGTACTTCTCGCAAGCTTGCGTGCCTCCACTTTTTTCGCCACACGCATCCCATGGGCAGGCAAAACCAGTGACCTACGTGTGTCCGCGGGACCCTCGCGCCTGAGCTGTTGTGGGGATCCCTGTAGCCTCGCCGCCCGTTGCAGGGCGGTCGCAGCATTGACCTTGGTTCTTCGCTGACACGGTCTCTTCCGGATGAGAGGTAGAAACCACCAGTGGAAGGAAACCATCAGTTTTACACCGAAAAGGCGCCGCGAAGAACGGAGTTGACCAGTGGCTTGACGTGACGTGGCACCGAAAGGCTCCTTGACAGTGACACATTTCGCAGGCAGGGTGCTGGTAGATGAATGAGGTGACAACCCAACTTCTTTTAGGGGTCACAATCTGGTCCACATGGGGTTGGGGCTCACAGAGTCTGCATCATTTTGCATCTGGGATGCGTTTTCGGACGAGGTGCTGCATGACTCAAGATGCTAGGAGCAACGTGCTCCTCCCCTCGTCCTCAAACTTGCGCACCAAAAGGTCGAGCGCAATTAGCATTGACAAAGGAGGATTGACACAGTCTATCTGCAAAATGGTTTGAATGTTGGTTTGGCTCTAGTGGCATTCTTGTGGCAAGCGCTGCGCGCTGCCTTGCCACGGAACCATGTTGCCTCTCTTGCAACCCCCCCCCCCGCGTCCCCGGCACTGTCGAATTCGGCGCCCCTGAGGGTCACCAAGGCCACCAAGTCCTGGAAAAGGAAAAAGGCAAAGAGAAAAAGAGAGGCCCCCTCAAAGACCTCAAAGAATGTCCCATGAAAACCGCTTCCCATGTTTTTTCTCCATGGTCCTCCGTCCGGTTTGGTCTGTTTTTCATGGCGTGGTTCTTTCTTGATCTTTTTCTGTCTTGTCGGGCCAGGAGTTGGCAGTCCCCCCTGCTAGGCGGATGTCCCATGTTTTGAGGTCTGCGCCAAACAATCCAAAACCACAAGCTATGCAAAACTTCCAAGACAGAAGTGTATCAGCAACATGATCGGTATATATATATATATATATTCTCGCTCCACATGGTGTTCTGCAACACTGTGATACGGGATTCCTGCATCCCGGTCCTCAGAGGATTCCTTGGAAGAGATCAGCTTATTCAAACCTCAGCTGCCGGATCTGAGGCCACTTTGCTCGGTGTGGGGTGTCCATTCGAGTCCGAGATCAGTTCTCTAGCCCGTGACAGAATCTCCTCCTGGGATCTGAAGGCTCTGCCTTTTCCATGGAGCAGGGGTGTGCACAGGCTGCGCAGGCTGGGCAGGCTGGCACACCGGAGGCAGTCAGTCCAGCGAGCTCAAGGGTGGGCACCTTCTTCAAACAAACAAAAACCTTTGTCTGCTCAGCAGCTCAGTTGTGTTTTGTTGTTCTGCGGCTTGCTGCCACTTGGAATTCGATATCCAAAAATCCTTTGAAATTGAGCGGCGTACTTTCAGCCGCGCTCTCATGCCTACCATGTCCATGTACTAGCCGCTAGCCATCCTTCACCTCGCTGGGCGAACCAACCACGGCCGACATTGTTCAAAGCCACGAGCAGCATTGGCCCGAGTGACTTTGCATGCATTGACCTGTCTCTGAAGAGACCATCCTAACTCTACATTGATGTTCAAGGAAGGGCGGGCAAGCCGAGACAGCACCCCGTCTGACCCTCACATCCTGTCTCCGCGGTCGCGACGGGCGGAGTCCTTCTCAGTGAGTCTTCGAACTACGCGATATGGTTCCGAGCTGACTTGTTGGGCGTCACTGGAGTGCTGAACCCAGGACTGAACCTGAGATCAAGGAAAGCCGTCCAAGAGATGAAGGGCTTGGATTTGCTATTAGTATATTAGGTATACATATATTGGGTTCCCTATTGGCGCCTTATTGGGTTCTATATTATATATATATATACATGGGTTCATATATACATATATATATGCATATAAATTCCCTATTGGCGCCATTAACGACTGAAAATGAACACCAAGTGAACAAGAACGACAGGCTAGTGGCCATGCTTTTGGGATATTCTTTACAGGACGGGACTGTTTACGGGATGAGTCGTGTTGGTCGGTACGAGGTCGAATACTACCAGCCCCTTGTCAAACACTCAAACTGCACCACTCAACACATCAAGTTATATACATGTGGACGGGCCTAGTGTGCAGAATTCCCCATGCCATGTCAAAGGCAAGCATGGAAGGAGCTGAACTACAGTCAGTGACAAAAAACCTTGGAGTCTTAGGAGATTGGGCGAACGGAGCTGAACTTATGTATAAAGGTATTCGGTATTCCATCAAAATCTCCAGAAATGAGCACAAATCATCTGAAACCATGACCGGCCAAGACAAGCATACTCCACTAACCAAGCAAGTAGTAGAGCATCTTGGTTTCACTTCACCCAACTTATTTGAGATGAACGGCTTCTGAAAGCAAAGCTGCGCAGAAGCTTTACTCACTTTACTCGCAAACGCCTAAAATCCGCCTGAATCCAGCGTTTTTGGGGTTCCAACTCAGTGAGGCCCCACAAGTAACCCGCCATGTTCTCTTCCTCCAAGTCACACCGGAGATCCGGACAAGGATCGTACCGCTGGACCGGGAGGGCTCACCATGCCCGGTACCATGGGACTGCCGCTTTGGATCATCCCAGCGTGCCTCAGCGGGTTCTAAATGGAATGCACGTCCCTTCAAAAAGAAGAACTGAAGAGTCAATGCTTCACCATTGGCAAGAGAAAGACTGTTTATGGAACCTTCCGAACCTGCCTAAGATTGCCCGCATTCTGCCGAAAAAGTGAGTGGTTCACCACAAGTCCTACAGGCTACGCCCATTGAACAATAAATTGGTTGGAGCAGTTTTCTCTAAGTGTTCGGGTACCACCATACCGCCGTGAATGGCAAAACATTGCAAAACACAAGGTCCGAGCTTCCAACTGTTCTTTGTTGTGCTTGTTGTGACCTGATGATGTGAAGAGTGAGAAAGTGCGCTACCAACCACAGGGTTGGGGCGGCTTTTGTTGAGCACGAACCAGTTGAATGACACACTATGCCATGTTGCCCTCTTGCATCCTCTCGCCAAAAATTGAAGATGATGGAACAAAGAATTGGACCCTGATTGAAAAAAGAAACAAGTTTCTTTGCACAAAGGGGGGTGTTCCTTGAGTCTATGCCCTCCAACATCCACCAACACCGGTAACCGCAGACCAGTTGCGGCCCCAGCAGTTTGGGCACACCGGGCGCCGGCAGCACGCTCGGGGGCCCTGGTAACGTGCCTCGGCCATAGAGCGCCTGTGGCGCTCTCGGCTGCGAGGTCACCATCTGCGCAGGGCCCACGATCATCGGCGCTTGGCTGTAGGACACCTGAAGCCGAGATGCGCCGGCCTGGAATGTGGAATGTGCGCGGTGCAAAAAAAAAAGCCAACATACAGTTCCAGAACTGGGAAGTGAGATACGAATTGAAGTAGTTCTGGGGGTCGAACTCGTCCAAGTCGAGGCTGAGTGAACCTTGCGTCCCTTAGGGTGCCTTCCTTCGAGTTGTTTTGTCCGTCCTCGACCTATGAGTCTTCCTCACACGGTTTCCCAATCTGACCTTTTTGGGTCACGCTCCAAGGGAGAATCCCAACGCGTGAACTCGGGTCGTTTTTCCGACTTCGTGTCGGACTCGACACTTTAAAAGGAGGCCAAAGAATGAATCACCAGTTGGAGCAAAAGAATCTCAGACCTTAATTTTACTCCGCCTAGAATGGGGCGATGGGCGTCTTCTGGCCACGCTCGGGACTGGCCGACCGTGTCCCGGCACGTGGCACTCATGAGGCGATGGTTCATACAACAGGGATTCTATAGCGCCAAAGCCCCCCACGTAGCTTCACCCCCAGGGCCCCACCTCACCTCGGCCCCACAGTTCTAAACTTGCCAAAAATCCCCTGCTCCCAACCAGGCGCCGGAGGAATTTGCAGCGCTTGCAAGATGTTGTCCAACTCCTTCTGGATGGCGATCGATTGATTCTGCAGCTCAGCAGAGGTCTGCAGGTGTGTCTCAGCTATCTGACCTCGAGGCATCGCGAGGCGTCGACGGGAAGGTGCAGCTTTGGTGAACCATGCGAACCATGCGAACCAACTGACGAGCTTAGGCAACCCAATGTTCAATCCTCGACTCGACTGAGTGGATGAGAACCCTCTTTGCCAAGTCAATGCTAATTGTTACTGGTGTAAACTCTAGCAAATTGACAAAGTAGAACAGCTCAAACTGATGGGGTAGCACATAACATGCGTCATGTCAGTGCCTAAGCAGCTTCTTCCTTGGAAATGAGAAGGCCATGAAAAGCCTATGCGCATCATCAATTTGGCTCATTTGGCAACGTCTAGCTCAACCATGCTCAACCCAAGGGTACCCACTGCTGCGCGCAGCCATTATGATCTTAAACTTCACCAAACAAAGGAACGCCATGTCCCAATTTTCTCAGCATCCCCTCTCTACTTTGAGGCCAGTCGCGACGACAGAGGGCACACTGTGACACAACGCATCTAACTGCCACAATGCCCCCTTTAGGTTTCCAGGCAGTCTAGGTCTACCATCAATACAGTAATTACACAGTTAATGTTATATATACATCATTTCTTGAAGAAAAGCCAGAAGAGCACCAACCGTCTGGCGGAAACAAAACACGTTTAACGTCTTTCTCATGTCCTCATCCAATCTCTCGGGCTGCCGAAGCAACGATGCTCGTCGAGGGTGCCGAAGCCTTCAGCGTAGACACCTTTGCCGCCTGCGAAGCACATGAGGTGGCATAAGGTCTTGAGCCACTGACCGATCTCGTCAGCACCATCCTGGAGTATTCTCCCCAAGGCTTGTGGAGGATACCCAGCGCGCCCAGATCGCTCAAAGTCCACCCCCTCTGTCGCACCCCAGCGACACGCGCGTGGAACCGAAAAACGCGGTGAAGTTTATGGACCCGTCCCAGTCCATTCACACCGCCGGTGATCCGGGTGGGTGATCCGTTCCTGTCCGAGTCATGATTCGTGGGAACGATATAGAAACGGGGTCAGGTGGAACCGGAAGGCCAAACTGAAAACACCGTGGATCATGAGCTTCGGAAGCTGAAAAGGTCCCAAAATGCCCATCCGAAATTGCCAACATGAAGGCCCGCCACCTGCCATGTTGCTTGGGGGCGTGGTGGGAACCATATAAGTCTTGAGAAGCAACATGGTGGACCTCCGTGATTTGGTTGCTTTGATGATACGCACCAGCGTGCCTTCAAACATCTGCTCCAGCCTCAGGTCGGTGCGGCAATGTCTCGGGGGAACTCAGGCCCGGCAGATTTGGATCCAAAGGCTGGGATGTAGCTTCTTGTTCCTAGTAGGAATGGCCTCCAACCTAGCCTCCACCGAGCGTAGCGTCCTACTAGTAGCGATGGCCTCCAACCTACTAGCAATGGCCTCAACCTAGCAGCGTCCTTGGCTACTAGTAGCAAATTTGGATGTCTGTTTTGGGATTCGTCATGTTGGTTGATCTGGCAGTTCTTTGGTACGTCATGCCAACTGTGTGCTTCGACAAAACAGGCGGGTGGCGACTGGAAAAAAGCATGCGTTGGAGGGCCAATGCATGGTGTAAAGGGAGGCAGCCCACAGCGCAGGGCAACATCCAAAAAGCATCAAAAAGCTTCTTGAGCACCTGTCCTTTGCCTTAACAAGCATGGATGACCTGGCAGAAAGGGATTGGAGAACTTCCTCTATCATGAAATGAGGCGGTGTTCTACAGTGTTTATGTTGGAATGTGGTAGGGTACACTGGGTGACGGAGTTCTCTGGCACGGCTTCTCTAACTCTTGAAACTGTATGTGAATGTGGACTGACTTAAGCACTTTCTGTCCACACTGTCGAGAATGGACATAGCATGACATATATATATAGTTGTCAGTTGGACATCGTTTCCGCCCGAAAAGAGTGCATGGGAAAAATCATCGTCGAGGATCATCTGATGCATCTGCATCTTCACATTCTCATTGGCTGAGTGCTTCTGCCCCACCTGGCACGCTGGGTGCTTCTGTCTGGGATTCCTGAGAGGAGCGATGTACACACGTTCGTTCAAACAGGTGGCACTAGTGTTCTGTTCTCATTGACCAGAACGATTCGGGCTGATTGCCTGGCAGTTCGACCTGAACATCTCTGATCGGTCTCAGGTGATCCGTCCGATCCGTCCTTTGTGGTGCTTTCTCTGAGGCCCGGTGGCCTCCAACTCTTCCGCCCAACTGGTCTCCCCCTCAAAAGGCTTGGCATTCATGATGCGGTGACTTCAAAAACTCCAACATCATGAACCAACATACCAAGAGAGGTTAGGTGACCTTCTAGGGCCTTACTGAGGTACCTATGGGATAATCGAACCTAGGGTTCTGACCAACCTCACTCTTCACCACGTCCATCTACTCAATCTACTCCAGGCCTTCCACCACATCCTGTCCGGCCTCCGCAGCCTTCCCCACGAGGGTGGAGGAATTCCCCGCAATGTTTTCCTCAGACCGTCAGAAGTTGGGCGGGCCCGCAATGTGGAGAGAGGGGCGGTGGATGTGTTGTTTGGGTGGTTGGGTGGTATGTGGTCGGAAGTTCGGTGAGTCAGAGCGTGCGCCAAACAAAGGACTTACCCCCCTAGGATTGGAGGGGTGTTGTAGGCGTGGTGGAGGCCAGGCAGGGATCCAAAATAGCGCGCTCTGCGTTGAGAGGAGGATGTTCGGAGTCTGGATGAACAAACCATAACAAACTCAGTGGGCACCAAATGACCAAATACCAAAAATAAGTGATACCTTCAACGGATATAATCACATCCTCCGTCTCTGTATGTCAACTCGGTCGGTGCCAACTGGTGTTTCTCTCTCTCTCTCTCTCTCCAGGGTGTTTGGGAAACACATCTTTTCGGGAGCTGACCAAGTCGAGAGCTTTTAGGACCTCGAAAGCCATCAAACGCATACTATAGAATTTGCGATATGGCTGGTTTTCCGGAAGCCATGTTTGTGAGCGAGCCAAGATCTAGGGCAAGTGCCTCTCACCATAGCAACCACGCTGAGATTTGCAAGCTGCGAGCATGTTGTGATACTGCTTCTCCTGTGGAAGGCCAAAGAAAGTCGGAGCAGGTCAAAGCATGCATGTACAAGCATCGATGTACGGTGCAAACTGGTATGGGCAGCATTGGAACTTCAATGATTCTGTACCCAAACATAGATAAAGTTGTCTGCTGGCTTTGGATGACTAAGGTGGGCTCACCCCTAGATTCTTCCCCCTTACCAACCCGCTACGAGGGGTCTAACCATGACTTCTAAGTTAAGGCTCCATCCTCTATCGACCCTGTTTGTGCTTCCTCTTTTTCCTTTAACGCATCTTCTTGTCAGCTCAGCTACGGCCGCCAGTCGGCTTGCTGGCGCTAGCCCTAGCCGTTCGCAGCCGCTCGGCCCTCAATGAGTGCTCTGCAGGTGCGATTGCCGGACCTCATACATCTCCTTTTCCGAGTTCCAATCGAAGAGTTGAGGTGGACACATCTCAGGCACTCGCTTCAAACCTCAGGGAGAAGAATAGGAGACGACTCCGGCGAAGGCGCGGAGTCGGATAAGAAACTGACCGCGTCGTCTGCCCAACGCAGATCACCCTACTAAAGTGTTTGGTCATTGACCTGCGTACACGGCTTTTGCCACAGGTACTTGCTGTAATTAGTGGGTGGGCCATGGTGGATCTGTCTGCGGGTCATGGCGAGTAGCAAATGCTCTCGTTCCGGTCGCAATATCCGAAGTGCTTGCACAGGAGCTCGAAATCCTCAGCGCCGTTGGGGTTAACAAAGAGGTGAAACAGGAGAAACCTCAAAAAGTAAGGATATCACAAAGTACAAAAAGTGAAGAAGCCATATACATAGACCCCCAAATAGATAGACAAATAGATAGATGGATGGATGGATGGATAGATAGATGGATGGATGGATAGATGGATGGATAGATAGATTAGATAGATAGCCACTAAAAAAGTATTGGAAACCGTGCCACTATCTATGTGGGGATCGCTATAAGGGGTTCACTACGTTCACTACGAGGTATTTGACCTTCGTGCAGCTCGACCAGAACCTGTCGGAACAAGTGGCGCAGCCGTTCTAGGATCTCCTTGACCCACGGCCTGGCTGCAGTCCTTTGAACGCTGATCCATCGGCCGGTTATATAAATGTTCCCATATTGGTGGTAGGACACCCTACAAAAACCCCGGTTTCTGAACAGCGGTCACACAAATACAAGTGACAGCAAGGAATCGGTCCGTCTTCTTGAGCTGTCCAACTGAATCTTCGAGGTGTACCGGGGAGGGTGCATGTAGCATCAAGTGCCTTCAATGTGTTTGATGCTTCACATGTGTGAACCTCAATCGGAGCTTGTACAGGAGGCGCCGCAAGCCACCCCTTCGGGCAGAGATTGGTCAAGCGGTCTCACCCAGGATTCCAGGATACAAGACTTGGGCCGCTCATGACTCCGTACAACTCTGCTTGACCGTCCAGTCAACAATCATCGTACATATATATATAGTATATGGTAAGAATCTCGGCCGCCAACTTCCCTCCACACAAATGCTTGGTCCCCATTTTAATGAGAAGGGCTTGCACTCGACCTCTGGTTCTTCAGAAATTAACTCGCACTGCCAAATGGTCTCCCTTACAACTGGCTTTGCAACAGGATCTGGTACCAGAAGTCATCAACAAGCCAAGAGTCCCGGTGATAGACCTGCCGGGCACGCCAGAAGGCTTGCTGGCGGAGCCAGGGACGGGTGAAAATACGACGACGAGCCAACGAGCCAGCAGGACATCAGTTTATTACCAACATTGACCGACAAACATCTATACTATTTATATCTAATACCGTCACAGAGTGACCAACGGCTGTGGAATGGAAGCTCGTGCATTGCCTAGTCTTGACCCTTGGATGGCACTTCAGCCTCAGCCCATCTTCATAGCGCAGAACAATTCGAAGGCCCGAGGCATCTTGGGTGCCACCCTGCCCAAGATCAGCTGCGAGTTCTTCCGTCCACCCCCCATGCCCACCCCAGCGGCTTCGCGTCCGACCGTCCGACCGTCCGAAGCCTGGTAGACCAAATCCCTGGTCTCCTGAGGTCGGAAGTCGGAGTATTCGAACAGTCCGACCTCTTCGTCCTGGAGCTCTTCAAACAAGGACACAAAATGCCCTTGTTATGACATTCTATGTCAGAACTTCTCGCATCTTCTGTCAGAATGTCGCATAAGAATCATAAGATGTGAGAAGTTCTGACATTCTACATTCTACAGCGCCCATGCATAATTCCTGGGCTTCGTGAATTTCGTGGACAAGCTTACCTTATACTGTAGCACCACGGCCCGTGAACAACGTCACTATAATATATATATATATATATGTATATATTACTTCAGGAGAAAGAACGTGTTTCCTCTTTCCGACTTTTACAAAGTAGTTAGGCGGATCAGCTGGGGTTAAAATAGGAAGTCCATTCGTGTGTGGGACGGTCAATTACCACGTTCATTAAAATGTAATGCATGTATAACATCAAAGGGCATTGGAGCGATTAAAGGGCTTTGGAGAGAGGACCGCTTGAGCTGCCATAAGTGGATTGCAGAATTCTAAGGGGAAGGGTTGTCAATGGGAAAGCTTCAAGAAGAAAAACTAGTGTCACCTGTCCGAGTCCTGGTGTTGTATTTTTATACATTTACGCATTTATGAAGGTGTAACTATAAATATATATATATATATAGTTATATATAAATACAGTACATACACATACATTTATATACTTGTACGGTCCATACACAAATATGTATGACTACGTGACTACATGTCATGATCCAAAGATTCTCCTGACTGAGATCCGCTGCCCACTTCTCATCACAGCCGCTCACGTGGCTCACCTCCGCCGTGGCGATGTGGATCCCATAGCCGAAGTCCTCCGGTTCAGCGGGGGGTGGCGGGAAAAGTTCCTAGTGTAGACTCTGGATTTTAGGATGGAGGCCATCGCTATTAGGTGGGAGGCCATCGCTAGTAAAAACAAGTTGACTTGGGATTTTCCTCTTCATATGGGAGGTGAAATATGATCAAGAGTCTAGGCCCTACGAGCTGCTCAAAAAGCACCCCCACCCTCCAAGTCACCAGGTCTGACATGGAACTAATAGCTGGGTGCAATTGGTTCCTACGATGCGCAGTAGAATAAGAGACCCCGTGGTCCAGAAGGCACCCCACAAATCCGAGCACAAAAGAGACACCTCTCTCTCTCTCTTTCCCTCCCCTCCTTGAAGACTTCATTCATGGAGTCGGGAAAATGACGGTTGTCCACAAAGATTGTTCCACCAAAGGGCTGATCAAAGAACTCAGCTTGCGGCAAATAATTGCAGTTCTCCGCCCAGGGATTCCCCGCCTGAATCACGGAGCAGCTCGCGACGCGCGCAACGCACGGTGCTGGGTGGCCCACAGATTCCACACGAGCCGAGCACTCTACGCTTTCGAGACTCATGCTCAGTGAGGAAGAATAGTTGAGCTAAGGCCTGGTCATCACCGAATTCTGAGCATTTGGAGCAATTGGCACGATCTAAGCATATCTAAGCATCTTTTCAACTCAATCTCAACGGTCATGTGAGCAGCCTCGAAAACCGCTATTACTTTTTTGTACGAGTACAATCCAGGTTTGCTTTTGCAGGGGCTTTCAAGGAGCTTTCGCAACCAGGTGTGGTGTTATGTGGAAACAGCTCTTCACCGGAACTCACAAACATGGCAAAGCAACTGTTTCAAGATGTTTCAAGCATGGCAATGTTTACCATATATACAAAACTGCATGGACAGCACCTACATAAACAATACATGACATGTACAAGAGATTCGACTTTCGCGAAAGCTTTCGCAACCTGCATTGTGGCGTTCACAAAAAATATGTGATATTATAGTTTGCACACTTTTCATCATAGAGGTTTTTGAAGCTGCTCATGTCATTCAACTACATACTATATACATTGTCATTGTTAGGGTCCACAAATGCATAAGCCTCCAGAGTGGGTTGCCCGCCCCTGAACACATTGAGAACCTTGCCGCCCTGATTTCGGATTCTATTCGGGGCCTGGACCTCAGCTAAGTAGTTCTGCAGCATCATCTTCACCCCAGCATCCACGTCGCAGAGGAGCTCTGGGTGTTCCAAACGGTAGGTTCCCCGGAACTGCGCCACCAAACGCTCATAGGGATCACGTAGAATCCTGTTGCCGCAGCCATAACCGCCGAATCGCAAAGGTGGCGAAGATATAGATCCCCAGCTCAAATCACCAAGGGGCTTGTGCCGTCTACTCTGTGACATGAAACCACGTGAAGTCTCGAGTGACTTCATGGGATCAGCAACGGGATGAAACGAAATGAAACGAACACAACATACAGTGTAACATACCTGCGTAAGCTCATTCTCTTGGACAATACCTCGCCAGCTTCCGCCAGCTTCCTTCGATGTCCGCATCCACCCGGCCGCCCGGTCCCGAAGATGGTCCGGTTGCCGAAGTAGCTCTCAGCCAGGTCTTTGGGCCAAAGCTTACCTGTCAAACGTCGGCCACACGTCGGGGACACATCGGTGACACGGCCAGTGATTTGGACTCCAGGTGGTGATGGAACACCTGGAGCAAAACATTGGCATCAAAATGCATCAATGTTGAATCAAACCGATTTGACCCAGGTCAAGAGCATAGCACCGAGTTCGTGGAGGCTCCGGCAAGAGCCTACCCAACAGTAACCCGACTCCTTCGTGCTGACAAGGCAGGGGGAAAATGGTCCAGTTCAAATGGCTGTGGCCGAAATTTATCCACCCGCCCCTTGTTCTTAGTCTGGCCCCACAACCTCAAAGAATGTTCACGAGACTTGTGAACTATTGGCCATTGATCTACGTGATGTTCAATGATGTTCGAAACTCCTGATATGATAAAACAAAGGTCCTCAAAAGCTTGCAGCTTGCCCCTTCATTCGACTCTCCGAAACACGTCAAAAGCCCTGCCTGGCGTGTACCTGGGCAACGAAAGCAAACCAGTGGAAACCCCGGGGTCGGGGGCGGCCAATTCCGTTTTCTCCAGCCCAATTGGCAGAGGACCTGAGGAGTGGATGGTCTGTAGTGAGAAGCCTCTCAGTGTCTGCGCAGCCCATCTGAGGTTCGCTGCCCCAGTCGCCAGTCATCTCAACAGTCCTTCCCTTTGCTCCTATGAGCTTCTTGTTCCTAGTAGTAAGGCCGGGAGCGCCCCTTAGTAGCGTCCTGCTCCTAGTAGCAACGCGCTTCGTTACTCCTCCCAAAAAGATGCGTAGGAAACAGCCAGCCCACAACTTGCAAGTAGCATCAGTAGCATCAGCCAATGAACTCCCCGAAAGCATTCAGCTCTCAGCTCTCTTGTTCAGAAACAGGGATCACCTGCAGCTCCGTCATGCTTATCAAATGCTCTCACTCTCCCTCCAAACCCGAAGATTCCGTGAAGCGCTCCGAGATCCGATTATATCCGATTCTCCAAGACGCATCATGTCACAGCCTGTGACCTCAGACTTCTCCCATCCCACGCAGTCTTCGATGGGATCGCGACTCCCACAGTCGCCCCACTTGATCCCATAGGCTGCCACCTGCAAGAAGCGGGTGGTGGGGCCGCCAGGCTGGACCAAAAGGCTGTGGACAGCCTGGATTCGATCGGATGTTCTGGGAGAATTCATGGACCATCCAAAAGTCCAAAGGACATGTCATGTGCCATGTCCCAGTTACATCATTCAAATCATTCACGAAGATGCAAGAAGATCCAGAAACGCGAAGGAACATGGTCTCCACGTTTAGCACAAAAAGAAGCTTTGCTTAGGACAGTTCCACAAAGAGTCAAGGAAGCAAGCACACAAACAGGGGCTGTGGCCAGATGACTCCGGAAACACACATATATATATATATTAAGATATATATATATATATTAATACAATTGTCAAATACATACTACTATATACAAGACCTTAAGGAGATGATTGCACTCCAAGGCGGCTCCCTTCCAGCTCAATGAGACTGGTTCGTTTCGAACTCGGGTGTTTGGCAGGAAGGGGAACACCCCTGTTTGAGGTCATGGTGACATGGTGCGGGAAGCTTCTGGGCTCTGACCTGTTGAAGAAGGGGAACTTCTTGACCAATTGAGAATTGGAATACCTCCACCTCTTGAAGAGTACTTTGGGAGATTCGAGGCTGCTGAACGTCAGCAAGTCCTTAAGCATAAGCGAAGGGACCATGAGCCACTAACTAATTCCTCCAGTCAACCTCCTCACCGACAGGTCTCAGTAGGTCCCATCTTACCTCGAAGGCCAACATCAGCGGCCCTGGCCTTCTCAGCCACGGTGTGGCCAAAATTGAAGGGCACGTAGCTCTGGGAAAAGCCGGAGGCTCAATCAGGGCACCGCTGGGGATGACGCGGAAAACTCTTCGAAGAAGCTTGATATGTTGGTGATTCGCGTTCAACTCCAATCAAAGCAATGAATGTTTCGACATGGTTCGAGAAATGCCTTGGGGTGATCCTTGACTGCTTATTCAGACGCCAAAGAGCGTCACACCATTGGTGACCCCAGGGTGTTCCAGTACAAGAACACATCACCTTGTCAATTGTGAACACACATATATATATATATCCAAGAAACCTGAGCTTCAGAAAAATCAACAAGCTTCTAAAAGTTTTGTACGTGGCAACCCTGGAACAGAGGCTCTAAACGTGTCAGGCCTTTCGAACCATTCATAATGTATCAATCAATAAGTTCAAATTGGTCTGCAATTTCCTGTAGAGTATTCATATGTTTTCAATATAATGTCAATCTTCTGTAAGTTTGTAGATCTGTCCAGTGTTGGGGACAACCTCTTCCCCAAACCAGTGCTCCAGTGCCTCGGGCCCCCATCACTGCCCAGTGGCCATGACAAGGCTTTTGTTTCGGCGTGCAAGCTGGTGCTGATGTTGCAGCAGGTAGACACCCTGCGAATCCTCACACTCCAAGGCGGCCGCCCACGCCAGAAGCAACGCTCCATGGCCCAAGCGCAGCATCGCCCGTTACGGAGCCCGCCCAGTTCGGTTCGGCAGGTCTGTGTGCGCCCGAGGGTCTCCGGGCACTGAGCCCAAAAGCACCAGGCAATTGGTTCCTTGGGGGTTGAAAGGATTGAAAGGGTGACATGGAACAGGTTCAATTTGCAAAACACGTTCAAACATGTCCACGGGCCTTGTTCCATGTCCACGGCTCTTGTTTCAACTCTTGATGCTGCTCTGGGTGCACCCACATGGGGTTGCATGTTGAGTTGATGTTCATTGAGTTGCCGAGCATCCTGAGGGGAACGACCCCTGACTCTCCAGGCCCCCCCGCTAATTCTAAAAGGATATCTAATCAACCCAGGATCTTCTTGGCCTCTCTCTTCCAGTTCTACTGCCATTGGGAGGGCATGCAACAGCTGGAGTTCACTTGAAAAATACTAAACATATATAAACCTTAGGCTTCCTTTGGTTCCTGATCACTATCTCCATAGCCTCCGGGCATTCTATCTGTCCGTTCCACTCCTTCCCCAGCTGGTAGGCCAACAGGTCTGCACAGCGCGCCAGCTCACCACGGTACCGCACGATGTCCTGTCGCGCGAGACCGTCGCCATCGCGTGTCGCGTGTCGCGTTCGTCGCGATGGCAAGGACGTCCCAGACATGACCTGGTCTGATGTTTGGAAGTCAGGACCACATGCGTCGGTCAACGCCTGCAAAGGGCGTCCATGGTTGGTCCTTTCATCTGCTCGGTTTGGACTCGGGTGGGATAAACGCGCCAGGACAGTACGCGCGAAAAGAAACGTCATAAATTAAGGCAAACAAGTGCTGCCCTACCTGAACAGCATATGGAGGAGGGTCAACCAAGGGCCCTGACAAATCTACATCTACATGTTCACACAACTGAAGTGCGGAAGAGATTGGGTGTTGTTGGTCGATGGCCCGGAAACGGCCCTACGTCAGTCCTGTGTCATTTGGCTCACCTCACGCTCAAACTCAGTGCAAAGCTGGTCCACCACTTGCATGCAATAGCTACCTGGGCGGGGCTTCAAGGAGGTCCCTAAGGACAAGTACCTTGGACTCCCTAAACCCATCATCCATGAGTGTGCAGGTGACCAAGAGTCAGCCAATCTCGTGCACGTGCGGTTGAGAACCACCTGGAGGATTGGAGATTTTAAGCTTTGAGATGCTGGGTCTCAACATGTCTCAACCAAACCAACCAGCCATCAAAGCCCCCAAAGGTTTTGGAAGATTAATTATGTATATATCTATATATATATATAATCTGTGTGTGTGTGTGGGGCTTGCACCTTTCCAGTGCATCTCATTGCCTTGGACGGCTCGCTCCTTGCGGCGAGAAACGAAAAGCATTGACCTTCGGAGTGTGATCCGGCACTTGCCTTAGACAAACAGCGGCCGCGGTTCAGGAGTGCTGCGTGTGCGTTCAAACTTCTGTCTTCATCTGAATCTGATTTGTCTTATGGAACATCTTTCAATCTCTTTCGGTTGACAATACGTGCCCCCGATTGATGTATTTATGTATTCGTTTAATTGTTCTTTTCGGCATTGATTCTTAATACTTGTCCTACTGGAAATTGACCAAGACAAGGGACAAGGAAAGACTGACTGGAGTCTGTATTTCGTAATTCTAGCTCAGTGAACGATACGATCCCTAAAGTTCCTCCTCTCAATATAACGTTGGCCTAAGGTAGCTATTCATTCTCTTTGTCTTTGAACGTATGGACAGCAGTTAACCCTGATAACACCAGGTCACGTGTCTATAAACCATTCAGCTGCTCAGGTGCTTCGAGAGTCAGTTGCCCCTTGTCCCCTCGCAAGCCCATAATACTGTGGGTTTCCAGTAGGACCCATCAGAATCTCCCCCAAAGACATGGGATCGCATGGGATGGTCAGTGATGAGCGGCAGAGTTCTAGAGGACCATAAGCAAGGATTCGTAGTTCACAACATAATCTGAAGCATAGTATAATATAGACAGCATATGTGTAAATATGCTACTAGTCAGCATATAGTCAGCTATTTATAACTATATGCTTACTATATGCATAATATATTATATACAGTAGTTATAAACTAACAATAATTAGATCTCAAGGACCCTCCGAGCGGACGAGCAAGTTCAGTTGACCCCCATTTCCAGGACTGTCACGGTCTTTGTAAGCATAAGCATGCATAAACCAACCTTCCCCCCAAATCCAGCCGTACCCGGCTCCCACCTTTCTTGGGGGCCCCCTACAGTCCAAAAAGAACCACGCACCGATCCATCTGAAGACTGGGAGAAGCAGACCAATCGGCCGATCCTCCCGATCTTTACGAGGAGCATTTGCCCCGCCATCGCGCCTGCACAGCTTCGCTCCGATGTCGCGTCCCGTGCCCTATCCGATCCCTGCGGTCGAGGCTTGGCCAAGCCGCTTGAGCCTTGTGACGGAATTGTATTGAAGGAAAACCACGGAAACCGCTCCCCCGAGAAAGTTGAAGCCTTGGACCAACAACCGAGGCGAGAGCAGTCCGAACAAACGGTTTCTTCATCCGTGTTCATGTTTTCATCATGTAGCCACTGGTGGCCCTGAAAATCACCAAACGGATGCAAGGACACATCAATGTGTACAGCACACCGTGTTGTTGAGGAAAGCCAGCTCACCCCCCTCAAGAGCAAAGCATTCATTCATCCTATCATATCATCCAATATTTATATAGTGGATCCGCGAACTTTGTTTTTGTGTATGTGTACATCTAATTACATCTAATGGAAATATATCATATTGTTTGTAGATGCCTTTCTCGCCCTGTTGTTTTCCGGTCTTAGGGATGAAATACGATTAAAGCGTATTAAATTGGTAGTCTTTCAACATCAAGAGTTGCCTGGACCTTTAGTCCTTTTCGTGTTCTTTTCTCAAAGAAATCCGTACCAACCACCCGGTCCAACCAGTCTTGAAATTCATGCCCTTCAGGGGCCCCTACCCACATGTCCCCCTATCCCGGACCCTGCCCAGCTAAGTCGCTGATGCTTGAAGGAGAGCGCCCAGACCGATCCTGGCGGCACTTGGAGTCCAACGCCCCGCCCGGCCACGTCGCGTCGGCGCAACGTCCCAGCACCCTCCCCATGTCAGTCCTGCAGCTCTGGCGGGGAGCTCCTACATCACGGGGCTCGGTGCGGTGCGAAAACGATGGATCGACAGATGGAGGAAGCCAAACTGCTTAGACAGGTGGTTCACTAACTGTTGAGGATCATGCGGGGTCCAAATGCCACACACTAGTGGATGATGACAATTGGGAATTTGATGGGCCAAACCAAATCGTTCCACTGGAAATTGAATGGTTCCTCGATGCTTAGGTGCTTAGCCTTAATATCGTTCTCTATCTATCTATCTATCTATCTATCTATCTATCTATCTACCTATCTATCTATCTATCTATCTCTCTCTCTCTCTCTGTTTCTCTCTCTTTTTACGTCACTACGCAGCTGTGTGCCGTGTTTGGTTTGGTCTCTTCAGTGAAGTTGGGCACCAAAAAAGCCGCTGATAAGCTTCAAACTGGAATACATTCTGGGATTGTCCCAAACCATGGGTGTTCCGCTAGATGACTTTCCAGTAATGTTGACATAGGATTAAGTAACCATCCCCTATTAATCAATCCCAGCTCGACCCCCCCAATACTAAACAAAGTTAAAACCTAGATTTCCACCTTGGCATCACCCTAATATATGTTTTTCCTGCGCAGAAACCTCCCCCTATTAATCAATCCCAGCTGCCCCAGCAAAAATAGAATATATATATATAGTTTACAATCTATTTATAGTTCTTTTATATTACTTTCTTTTTAGCTAGTCTCCAATATCTCAAACCACTCCTCATGGTTCAAACTCTCATCTCCTCATGTCCCATACACTCAACCATCATCCATCATCAGGTCCAGGTCCTCATCTCATCATCCATCAACAGGTCATCACCTTTATTAGGGGGATGTCCTCTTCAATACCTCAAATCTCAAACCTTGTTGAAGCAAGGGGGCGGTTGATTTTAATCCAAGTCACTGAGCTTCCTTCATGTTCAGACTTTGTGTGAGCACGCGTGAAGGACACACCCGGAACCAGTGCCACCGGTGGTCCAAGTCACAGGCCTCGTGCAATTAGGGAATCACACCATGGTGGAGACAGAAAAATCATTCCTTAAAGAATTCCTCAAAAGATCTTACAGTGTAGGCGAGCCCTCTGGATCTTCTGGTCACCTCTATGGGACAGGGACCTCCTCAAGACTTGCGTTCCGCTGGCCATCGCATGGTTAACCACACCAGCAACGCCCAACGCCCGGAACTCGCAAAACGCTCCTTTCATCACCATAGAAGGAGCCCTCAGCCTTAGGGCCATCAACAACCATTGTTGTGCGAACACAGTCAACTTGGGGCAAGTGGGGCATGATATCAACTAAATTCCTTATCAAATGCTGTGTCCCGCCGGGTGTGATGTTGCATACAGTGTTTTGCCATGGTTCCGCCATAACCCTTCCCATTGGCTTCCGGTCACGGCTTGCCATCACTTCCAAGGCACACGTGGCCGTGAGCGAGCCCGGGAACTCCTCCTGGAACATCAAGGAACCCTTGACCAAACTGCTGGTGCTCTGTTAATGCCTTAAAAAGATTGAGTCGTACCAAGAAGTCAGGCCAAAGTCTTTTAGATGTCTTTTGGCATTGATTCTTCAGCTGCACCACAGGTGCTCCGACTCTCCGGGCGTCTTTTCCCGTGAGGGAGTGTAAGAAATAACAGCGAAGACCAAGAACACACCAGAGCGCAGCTTATAGTATTATAATGCATTATGAGGTGGAAAGAACAAACAGGTTGGGTGAAAGGAGTGCAGTTTCCTTCCCTGAGCGACTTCCCACCAGCCCAGCCCAAGTCCTCGGCTATCTGCTCCCCTCGTCGTAGAACGACCTCATGTCATGGGCCGACGGAGGGGGAAACAATCAATTTCGAAACTGTGACCTAAGCAGTGTGAGAACAAACGAAAGTCAAATCACTCAAACAAAGTTCCTCAAGCAGCGTGAGAACATGAGGAGCTCCTGGGCCCCGGAAGAAGCCCATCGAAGGTGACTAACATCTGAGGGGTTTGCCTCTCAGACGAGTCATGCAGAGCGCATGACTTCTTCAGAGGGCCCCTGGGTCGCCGAGGGGCCGCCCTTCCTTACAGTCGACCAACTGGATCTCTGCAAATCCCTCTCCCTCAACTGAAAATCGAAATGATCTATGTTATGAACCCTTCGGCGCAGGCCACCGGCCCAACGGGGAGGCTTAAGGCATAGCGTCAAAAGGCAAGGGTCACCAAATCCGACCTGGAAGAGACCTGGTTGAGGGTGGTAGAAAATGCAAGCACGATGGATTGGAGACCTGTACGGTAGTGCATCTCGCATTTGGTGCACATGTGTATGATGCAAACCTATACGGGAGCAAACACAAGTTCAATCAACCGAAAGTGATGTCACCTGAAGATCTCATCCACAAGAAAATGCATGGTCATCCAAAAATAACATGCAGGAGTGTAGGGAGCCACGGAACCGCTGCACGTTCATCCGTGTACGTGTCACGCGTTAGATGTGACCGCTGAGAACGGGGCGACATCTCAAAGCTGGCACATGGGATGGAAATGACCGGAGCCCTTCTAAAGGTGTGGAAAAACTGGCCTGGTGTGACAGCGGAGGTATGGTTTGGTTTGGCTTGGAAAATGGTTGCAACCGGAGCACTACCTCGGAAAAACTCACATGACCAGGGTGATTCAATCACCTTGCGATGTGAACTACCAGGTTCCTACGAACATGCAGCATACTGTAATTATACTTGTTAGATGCTTGGTTCCATAATTGTGGCATATTGTGGCCCATCCACAAATATGAGATGTTTGAAGAAGGCTAGTTAGTTGATGGTACACTTTCATACACTTTCTATGTATTTAGTTTCCTCTACTATACCAACTTCCGTGCTGTTTGAGCGCCTGTGGCCGGCGGCCGCACCGTGGA